CGGGACCGAACACAAGGGAGAAATCAAAGTACTTACGCATATTGTTCCAAGTCTCAGGAAAGCCGTTGACATTGGCCACACCGTCCTCGATTCTAACATTGGCCAGAATTGACGACTGGCCTTGTCATCCATCTTCACCACCAAGCATTTTCTCCCTCGGTGGCGAAGGTTCAACATTGTTCCCCTATAAAATCTAGGTGCGAACAGATGAATTAAGTGTCACAGTGTCAGTTCAACCCCGGCCAACTCAGTAAACTTAGTGAGCATTTTTATAGCTTTATAAACGTATGGAGCGAGCTGAGCAGGACAAATGCCGTAGTGACGACAGAACTCTTCCACCAGCGGAAGGAGGGGAAAAGAGTAGCCGACTTGGAAGGGGTAGGTGTAGAGGGCGCAATACCCAGGATGGTGGACCTGTATCGTATCCCCTTTGGTCGGGATCAACTCGATATAGTTGGGAAGGCCGAATTTAGCCTTAAGCTCCGCTAATTCCTTCACCGTCATCGTCGACTGAAAAGCTCTAGGAGCGTTCTTCGGTGACTTGGTGAAATCGGGCCTGGAATCAGGGTTGCATGGGACTATCTCCTCCACCGATGGGAAAGATACATCCTCAACGGTGGAAGGAACGCTCTCCCCATGGGAGGGGAATACCACTACCAATGGAGCAACATAACTCCCATCTCCATCCTCAGATGGTAAGTTAGACATGATTCAATGTAAGGAAGGAGAATAACAAGCAATAGGGAGTGAGGAACAACGTAAGTCACTGAAACAGAGAGTTGAAAGGATTCTGCAAAGAAGATGAAGGAGAAGCTATTGCTTAAAGAAAAGAAAGAGTTTGGAAAAAGTTTCAAAATCAAAAAACCTTGCCTTATTTACAAGGTTTGAGATACACCAAAATCGAAACGGCGGGTCATAATTAGCATGAAGATCGAAATGACAGAGCCAATCAAGGGTCACACCTTAGTTGATACAATGCGTTGGTAAACGTCGTCATTATGACGCATGATGTCATGGAGTTAATCTCTCTCGGAACAGAGGGGGCCGAGGGAAGGGACTACCTGCTCGATATTCTTCAACAGGTCACGATCCATGGGGATCGCGATAGTCCTCGTAGTCCCCTCCAACCTTATCTTAAGATGGGTAAGCCCTTCCTCCATCATCCTCAGGTCGCCTACATCAATGTCAGAACCTGACTCATCGCCCTCCTCAGCAATGCCTTTGCCCCTCTCATTGGCCGGCAAGGAGGTGTCTGCAGATGTTCGAGAGGTCGATGCCTCATCTTGCCGCGTAGTATCAAGAACATCAGCAGCCGTCCCTTCGATCTCCATTGCCGCAGAAGGAAGAGACATGTCCACATGGGCTCCCACCGATCTCGGAACCTCGAAACTCAGGTTAATATCATCTCCCACAAGAATGGTCGTCGTTTCACGCAGTGAAAAGTCCCCTTCCATCGCATAAACGGGCCGGGTGACTCCGTTACTAGCATCCACGGAGCTCCTCTTTCAAGGCAGTAGATCTCCATCACTAGGAAAAGGTTTATCATCCTCGTCGATGAGAGAAATAGAGGAGAAGTCGAAGTCTTCACGGCCGAAGTGGGAACAAATTCAGACGCAATGGCAGAGGGATCAAGAACAAAGATAGTATCAGTCGCGGTCAAAACAGGGGTGAAAATTGAGGACGTAGTAGCCTTTCTCTTCTAGAACGAGGGCGGGGGAGCTCTCGACCTTCTCGTAGACCCCCTGGCCGAAGCTAAGCAAAAATCGAAAAAAGGAAAATCAGCGAAGGAAAACTAAAAAAAAATTGATAGTGAAAAGGAAATTACCAGTCAAAGGGAGAGTAGGCCCGAACTTCTTGAAAAAACTTGGCCATTCACGAATCCCTACGATGTGAGGGAGGAGCTGCTCGACCCAGTCAGAAATATCAGCGTCCAAAGGAGGCTGCAGCGTCTTGACTGCAAAAGAAGAAGGCGAGAAATCAAAATTCGGGACCGAACACAGGGGAGAAATCAAAGTACTTACGCATATTGTTCCAAGTCTCAGGAAAGTCGTTGACATTGGCCACACCGTCCTCGATTCTAACATTGGCCAGAATTGACGACTGGCCTTGTCATCTATCTTCACCACCAAGCATTTTCTCCCTAGGTGGCGAAGGTTCAGCATTGTTCCCCTATAAAAGCTAGGTGCGAACAGATGAATTAAGTGTCATTGTGTCAATTCAACCCCGGCCAACTCAGTAAACTTAGTGAGTATTTTTATAGCTTTATAAACGTATGGCGCGAGCTGAGCAGGACAAATGCCGTAGTGACGACAGAACTCTTCCACCAGCGGAAGGAGGGGAAAAGAGTTGCCGACTTAGAAGGGGTAGGTGTAGAGGGCGCAATACCCAGGATGGTGGACCTGTATCGTATCCCCTTTGGCCGGGATCAACTCGATATGGTTGGGAAGGCTGAATTTAGCGTTAAGCTCTGCTAATTCTTTCACCGTCATCATCGACTGAAAAGCTCTAGGAGCGTTCTCCGGTGACTTGGTGAAATCGGGCCTGGAATCAGAGTTGCATGGGACTATCTCCTCCATCGATGGGAAAGATACATCCTCAACGGTGGCAGGAACGCTCTCCCCATGGGAGGGGAATACCACTGCCAATGGAGCAACATAACTCCCCTCTCCATTCTCAGACGGTAAGTTAGACATGATTCAATGTAAGGAAGGAGAATAATAAGCAAGAGGGAGTGAGGAACAATGTAAGTCGCTGAAACAGAGAGTTGAAAGGATTCTGCAAAGAAGATGAAGGAGAAGCTATTGCTTAAAGAAAAGAAAGAGTTTAGAAAAAGTTTCAAAATCAACAAACCTTCCCCTATTTATAAGGTTTGAGATGTACCAGAATCGAAACGGCGGGTCATGATTAGCATGAATATCGAAACGACAGAGCCAATCAAGGGTCACACCTTAGTTGATACAACGCGTTGGGAAACGTCGTCATTATGACGCATGATGTCATGAAGTCACTTTTTCTTTTGGACTAGATGGCTCCAACAGACTTCCCGGGAAATTCAAAAAATTCAAAATATGCGGACCTCAGAAGGCCACGTAGCCCTGTCTCCACGACCACGACCTCAGCCAACTCTATAGAATTGTATCATAAACGATATTGTTGGCTCACCGACCTCGATAAGTAGAGGGACTAACTGTATGGGTCAAAATCCATCTTTAGTCGAAATGGTATTAGTAAAGCATTCATGGGACGCCACATGTCGAAGTAATCTAATTATTAGCGAAGGTCGTGGTCTAGGAGTCAGCAAAGACTGAAGTCGAGGAGTTATCATCGAGGCCGAGGTCGATCACCCTTTATAGAGTTATAACTGCTTGTTTCAAGATAGGACATAAAAGAGAATATGTTGTTTCAAGACAAAGATTCTTGGCTACACTTTTCCACTGGATCCGAGATTAACTCAGATATTCAAAGGATTATCCATCACTCATCTTGTTAGAAAGAACATTCACTGGTTCCATCCTTTCTTGGGTGGCTCATTCGTTCTATTTACTTGAATGTCATTTATTGCTATGCATCAATATTTAATGCTATATTATTTCCTTTGCCTTCTTAAATATTGTTGTGTGTTGCCGCTGTCATTAAAATATTCCTACATAGTATTTATTGCACTTCTGAGAACTTCATCTTTGCGATATTATTGTTAACTAAGATTAATCCTCATTTATATAATTTAATTAGTTGAACCAAGATATATATTTTTTAGTCAAACAAAAATATTTTCTGAAAAAATATTTTCTATGAAAATCATTTTCCTTCGTACCAAACACACCCATGATATAAATTGTTATCATCGGACCCTTATTAATTAGTTCACGTTTACTCAATTATACCAATAACCATAGTCAATACAAGTTATTGTAAATATTGAATGTGAGTAAAACTTTTCGAAATGATCTGTTGAATAGTACACGACTTTTTCGACGAAAGGAAAATGCAATTGAGGAAATTTAAGCCACAAATGACTTTTCATCTTTTTCTTTCTATACTGAATCCCTTGATATAAATAAAACACAAGGATCTATTTGGTGAGTTTTTAAAATCTACTAATCGAAAAACAAATGGTTCGTATTGGTAAGAAACTTAGATATACGGTGAACATAGAATTAGGTGAGGTAAATTAAGCTTTAAACTTGAATAAAATAGAATTTGTGTATATTTTCTGTTATTTTTCTTTTCTATATTTGGAGTAAAAATCAAAGCAGCAAGTTCTTTGAGAGGACATTAAAGAATCTGACCGAAGTTTAAATAATTGTGTCTCTTTTCTCCTTCTTTCTAACTAATTATTGGTGAATCTAGCCTTGATGCAATTAATTAATTTTGCGTAAGAAATAGTAGTAATATTTTAGTAAATTCAGAAGTTTTTTTTTTCTACTGTCGGGAGTCTTTATTTTGGCTGTAGAACCAAGTGGGGTCTGTTTTACAATTAGCCTGTGTTTACCATGGGGGAATCGTCTCACTCTCAGTCGAGTGATTTTACTGTATTGCCTGTACAACTGACATTAATTATATGAGATTTTTTTTTATTTTACATATTTGTGGACACAGATCACAAAATTATTATAAAATAAAAAAGAGACCTCGTATTCAGTTGCGTTAAACACAAAATAAAATTTTTCTTCTCAATCAAACACTTTGAGGAGGACAAAGTTGAATTTACTCGTAATTTAAAAATGATATACGGAGCATGTACATCTGTAAATCACGACGCCATTTTTATATACTGCTTAAGCTGAGATTTGTAAGGCGTGCGATCCCAAAAATAATCCAGATTAGAAAAGTTGATCCCGACGCGCCCGCGAAGTACTCGATTCAACTGCAACAATAAAATGATCTCGACAAGACCACGTGGCTCTCTATAAAAGCGAGTAGAAGACACAGCAGAAACCAGCGAATTGTTCACTTCCTATCCGAGAATACCGCTCTCTCTCTCTCACACTCCATTTTTTTTTTGCTTAGCTTAATTTATCAAGAAGACCCATATACTTGCGCTAAATTGCGCCGAGGGGCACACTGCGCACCCCAATCTTCATCTTCTCCCTCTCTAGTCTCTACCTCACATCACAGTAGTCTTTGTCTCTCTGGCTTTCACTTTCAGGCTTTAAACTTCTATATAATAATAACCCAAACATTTTCAAAAAAACACACTTACACTAACACTAACACTTGCATTTCTCCCCCCATAACCACAACTACTTAAGCTCAAAACCTAGGGTTTTCTTTTTTCTGTCCACTCATCTCGTGTTAATAAAGTTCACACTAATCATTAAACACGAATGTATATAATTGTGAATTGTTGAAATGGATCCACCTATTATTAATGAGGCATCATTCTCGGCGGCCAACCCGAGTTCTTACAGCTTAGCTGAGATTTGGCCGTTTTCCACCGCAGCAAATGGTGGCGGCAACGGCGACCTTGGTGGAGGAGGCCTGGGTCTCAGAATGAGCAGCTTTACGGATTTATTAGAGGCGGCTGCTAACTCCGTTAACGAATCTACTGTGACGGAGCAAAGCGGAAGAAGCGGCGGCGGCGGCGGAACTGCTGCTGTCAGGAAGAGGGATGTGAATTCGGAGGATGACTCTTCTAAGCTTGTTTCTACTAGTGATGCTAATGATTTGGTAATTATAATTATAACTAACTTTCTAATTGCTCTTTTTTGGTTTAAGTACAAGACTAAGCGGGATGTGGATAGATTACTGTTGATTTGACATTGAAATTTGTCTAATTATTATTTTCCTGCCTAATGTCTTACATTTTTGGAAGAATAAATAGTATTTCTCATTGAGTTGAGTCACTTTTACATGTCAATTTCGTAATTTGTTCTCTCAGTTCTCTTCTTGTTATGTCTAAAAGCAATTCTTCGTCATTGGTGATGAATTATTAAGTTTTTGATGCTTGTCAAACAGAACATATACTAAGCAATTCCTTGAGCTGTAAGTTGATGATGTATGTGCCAATTGTCAATTTGCTTGGTGAACCATTTCATTCGGATCAAGTTAGATTTCAGCATAACCCGACTTCTAAGTCTTCAGCTGATGAAAATTCTCTTCTGCTTCACAATTTAGAGGTTTCATAATTTTTTCAAATACTTTGCTGGTTGAGAATCAGCTCCTGGATTTACCATATACCTTTAGATCAAATTCTTATCTTGATATGGTTTCCAGACTTTATGAAGCTACGTATTGATTTTTCTTATTAATTCAAATTATGTTCGCAGCAGGATGGTTCAGTCGCCAAACGCCAGAAAGCATCAGAATCTAAAGAAGAAAATGGCGGCTCAAAGGTAGAAGCAGAATCCAGTTCCCGGACGGTTAACAAGGGCACTGAACAAAGTAGTAAACCTGAGCCACCCAAGGATTACATCCATGTAAGGGCAAGAAGGGGTCAAGCTACTGACAGTCACAGCCTAGCAGAGAGGGTATCACATTCTCTGAACTTTCATAACTTTAATTGTCTGATGATTTTTTCATATTGGCTGAGCAGATTCTTTATTTATCAGGCGAGGAGAGAAAAAATTAGCGAGAGGATGAAAATTCTGCAAGATTTGGTTCCTGGATGTAATAAGGTTAGTATTTTTTTTGAAATTATTTCTAATCTCTACAGCGAGCACGTGGGCTCCCCGTTAGAAATAGTGGTGGCTATTATAAAAAAATGGTGATACTCTTACCATATCTACTAACGGGAACCTACATCAGTATCTTCTGTGCTTGTAAGGTTGAAGCATTTCATGTATAATTAGCATTTTTCGCGTGACTTAGTAATACAGGTTATTGGAAAAGCTCTTGTTCTTGATGAAATAATAAATTATATCCAGTCACTACAGCGTCAAGTGGAGGTAGTTCCTCATCTTCGTAGTGGTTGTCCTTTTGGGTCTTATGAACTCAGCCATAACCTCATCTTTTTTCTCTCAATTGAACTTTCCAGTTCTTGTCCATGAAGCTTGAAGCAGTCAATTCAAGGATGAGCCACCCTATAGATACCTTTCCTTCAAAAGATGTAAGTATTTGGTGTTCTTTTTCCTTATCACAGGTAGCTGGTAGATGGATTCAGGTTTATGTTGATCTAAGACTAAAACACTATATCTGTTCTATCTGTTAAGCCTTTCAAATTTTTGGAGTCAATAATCTACAGGTGGATAATAACTTGCTGAAGGTTATTTTATCTGATATTTTGTTTACTTCAGATATTGTAGATTTGGTAAAGTAAATGCCAGAAATGGTAGATATCTTTCACTGCCCATTTTCTATATCATATTTGCTCATGGCTGCAGTTGAAATCTCTTTCACCCAAAGACTCTGGACCTAGAAGTTTAAGTAGTATTAGGCGCCATGGTTGTGAGAAATTATGTGATGGTTAAGTAAAGTTATTGAATTAGTTGATTTTGATATCTTCCTCAAGCATCCTATGAATGCTTGAACTCTTGCAACCACATTTCTCGAAAGAAATGCATTCATGAAAACATTGAAAACTTGTGCTCTCTTTTGATTTGAACCTTTTGGATGAAACTGATTTGCCACTAGACTGACTCTAAGTCAGTTCTCTTGAGGTAGTGTCAACAGGAAATCACCTACATTAGTGTCTGGAGCGTTGCTATGTGCCAAATTGCAGTTCTGGGAAAGCTTTCCACATATTTTTTGATCAGATAGTAGCTGAGACTTTTCTCTAGATAGGGCACGGCTTGTTTCTAGACTCCTGATACCTTTGCCATATCTTATAATTTTGTTTTACTCTAGGCATTAATTGTAAGAATCCAGCATAGAACAGCAAGGGAAATTTTTATATGGTTAATTTAGTTTAAGTTACTATCGAGCTTTGGAGTATAGACTGGAACCATCTCCAATATGCTTCAAGGAATTTGGTATCACAACTCATCAGATAGACTGTTGTGTAGAAGCACAAAAGGAGCTTTTTGTGACCACTTTTCTTTTACTTTCTTGCACGCGTTATTTTTTTTTCTTATCGTTTTCGGGGTGGGGTAGATTTGGTCTGGAAGGTTATCACCATTATACAATTCTTTTGCTACCCAATCCCATCTTCATAGTGATGATGTTTAAGGGGAGGTTTTGAAAGTGAAGTTTAAGCTTTTCGCAGCATTGCTAAATCTGCACTTTACCATGCGAAATTAAATGACATGACATTTGGACAGATGTAGACCTTTTCTGACAAGCTTCCATGTTTTTGTTGTCTGATGCCACAATAAAGTCTGTGACGTACTTGCTACTTCTTTTGCCCCACTTTCCAGCTTTCACTTTTCCAGTCCTTTGTTCTCTCAATGTATTGTTTTCTTGTATGACTTGACCTTGTTGGTCCTTGAGAATTGTGTGGATATAGACTACACGGATTTTGTTTCTCTACCACAGTCTGCGGTGCTCGTGTGAGCTTATGCTCACCTTCTTGAGCTACATACCAAGCTGAGTTCTCTTTGCCAACTGAACTGCTACTACTGTTTTCATTCATGCATCATCGCTAGGCACTAATGATCTTTTTCAGTAGTTTCAATGTCAAGTTAGACCCTAAAATATTCATATTCATTGCAACACAAGCTAGTGTTTGATTCTTTTCGTGTTTCTATACGAATAATTTTTTGTGGAAAGCTTCTTATCACTTTCTTGATTTCTGGGCCCTCTACTTCTCTTGCAGCTTGCACCGTCAGCATTTGATGCCACTGGAATGATTTTTGGCGCACAAGCACCTAGAGAATATGCTCAAGGAGCACAATCCGAGTGGCTCCATATGCAGGTTGGTAGCAGCTTTGACAGAGCAACATGACAGATGCCCTAATGAATTTGAATATAGGTTATTTAGGAATATTAGTCTTCCACTTCATCATGATGTTTGTGAGGGAACCTTGGCATTGGATCCTGCAACTGTCCAGCAGCTGTTCCACTGTAGAAGAAGCATTCTTAAATTTGTAATCATAATCACCCTCATTTCCAGTAGAATTGTCTGTTTTATCTTGTATGATCAAGGTCGTCTAACTCAGTGTACTTGTACTATGTTGTATTGGTATAAGAAATAGACTACGCAGACTTTCTCGCTGTACTAGGCACAGACGCCTTCCCATTCTGAACGCGCTGAACATGCACAATCTCTCAGAATGTATTCTTGCTCAAAGAACATATAACAAAATATATAAGACATCCAAACTAAATAAAGTATAGGGGAAGAACATATGAAAAATGGCCTGAAATTGAGTATTTCTATTTCCACATTAGTCTGGAAGCTGGTAACTGGTTATATTTGTAAAGATTAAGATAAAACTTAGAAGGAGAAGCAGAGGTTTGGCAGGCACCAGAATAGGATTCTTCTGTTGTTCGAGAGTTTCACTTTTTAGCTGTGGGCCTATAGTAGCCAAACTACCTAGTTAGAGACCTAAAACTCGGTGGGTTTATGCTTCACTAGGAAGCATAGACCTAAGTCTTTTCTGAAGATTCTGATAATGTTTTCGTTTGTTCTTTTTTATTTTTCAATTCTTTGCTGTAGGGTCTAGGTAATGTGCAAGGGTTTAGGCATTTGCATTCTTGCATTGTCTCCGAGCTTTACCGTACTTATTCAATGTCATCAACTGGGTTAGATATGGAAATGAACGTCCCCGATCCTATATGCCTGCATAGCCTATTACAACACCAGTAGCATTTAGTTGATTGAGAGGTGCAACTTAACAAATATCCACATCATGGCCCGACCATTGGATAGCGTGGTTAATCGGTAGAAAGCCACATCAGCGTGGTTGGCTATATCTACTACAACCACAATAAAAACAAAACTCATTGTAATCCCACAAAGTAAGGTTTGGGCAGGGTAGTGTATACGCAAAATTTACCACCTTGTTAAGGTAAATGTGATTGGTTCTATTTGTGTTACAATAATGTAGTCTTTGCAGCATAGACTCAAAATCACTCAATTGCATGTTAAGTAGCACTATAGCAGTTGCTTTTATTTCTAAATCTTCTTTTGGATTTGTGACAGTAAGGATATAAATAGAGTAGCAGAGCCAGAGCCCGGTAGTCAATACATGAACATGTACCTCTGCCGGTTCTTCTGAATTTCGCTAAGAAGAGATGATGTTTTTCTTTTTACTTCCTTAAATCTTAATTAACAAGAATAGAATCTCAGCTGGCCTCCACCTTTTGTAGGTTTCATTAGCATAAATGCATATTTTGTTATTGCTTAAACTATAGTGAAACCAAAACTTGCAAAGTAGTACTAAATTATATGAGAAGTGATAGCGAATAACACACTGTATACGTCAAAGATATGGTGAAAAACAGCATGACTCTTATTTGTATGAGTAACTGCAAAGAAATCATTTGAGTACCCATATGTACACGTCCGTACGAAGAAGTAAAAATTCTTGTTGCTTTCTGCATTATTGATGATTACACAATACATACCTGGAGATGTATGAGGGACAAATACACAGCTAATACTTGAGAGCAAAAGTTAATATTTTACGCTTTTCTTTTCCATTCTGTTATTCAGCTGTTATAGCTTTTACTCCTGAGACAATGGAGTTTTAAGCACCAAATTTGGCCTTGATGCCATCAATGACACTTGTTTCAACTTGGAAGGTCTTAGTCAACACATCATTAGGAATGGGAGGTTTGGAAGCAAATAGTGTAGTTGGAACGACGACTGTGCCTGGCAAATGACTGTTAAAAGCTGTGAAGGTCAATGCCTTCCCCTTCCCAACATTCATTTGGAAATGCACTAGTCCTCGGGGTACCACAAACATCTGTCCTGCAGTCAAAACTTTGGAATAGAACATGTTGTCCGTTGTCACGAACCCAACAAAGAGTTTCCCCTTGATGACAACCCCGGACTCAGTTGCACGAGGGTGTGAATGGGGTGGATTCATCCCTCCCGGGGCATAGTCTACTCGATTCATTGAGAGACCTAACGTGTTCAAGCCTGGGAAAGAAAGAACATTTCCTGGGGTCACATTGAATCCAAATACATTGTCTGTGTTTCCCTCTTTGCTTAGACCATCAAAGAAGAAGTCATCCGAAGTAACTTGGGAAGCAGGCTTGCAAGGAAAACCGTTTAGAGATGTTGATGTGCTGTTCAGAATTCCAACACAGAAATCCTGCAGTGGATCAGGATCAGCTGAGTGAGAAGGAAACGGTAAGACTACCAGAATTATCAACAAGAATGTCACACGAATAGAAAACCCCGACTGAGACTTCAGGGCAGCCATTGTTTAGTGTTGTAGAATGAAACTTGATTCCAAGAATAGTGTGGCACTGTACTAATGGACAGGAGTTTAAGGGCTATTTATGCCTTGGCGTTATCTCATCTGCAAGAAGGCTACCTGCTAAAATAAAATCATATATACATAAAGAAAGGAAATTTAGTTGAGGTTAGTTGGCGCTTTGACAATAGATGAATGCAACGTTTCAACTTCTGTAAGGAGATGAAATAGTCAATCGAATTGCTGGTAAATCTTACTTGGGGATTACGACCTCTGTGAATTATTGTATCATTTGTCAAAGCAATGAATTGTTCAACTCCTTTTTAATCAGGTGGTTCATCCTAGCCCTTCCTATGGTATGACAAGCCAAATAGTGTTGAATCAGTCCTAAATTCCTAAACTAGGGCAGCCCGGTACACTAAGCTCCCGCTATGCGCGGGGCCCGGGGAAGGGCCGGACCACAAGGGTCTACTAAAGTTAATAAATCATGATTTGAACTAAATGCAATGCTCAGAGGCAGCCACACTTGTTTATCTTTCTAAACTATCAGGATAGAGCCAAGAGCTTCTGGAAGCTGCGCGACATTAGAACAACAGAGAAGCTCTAATATCTTTCAACTGGAATACTGGACTATTGCTAGGAAAAATGATCAAATTGGAGGAAAATGGAGTAGGTAAACCTACCCATGCCCAATATTTTTGTTAAATTGGCATACGACATAATCAACTAAAATTTAAATACTGGAAAAAGTCGTTTATTTGCCTGACATTGAGATCCTGAGGAAGAATTCAATCTAATGCTTCTCTTTTTCACCTGATCCTATATTCCTGATAAATTTTATTGGGAAGATGACGTCCATGTTTGTTGGAATATGACTTTTCCATAACGTAATTAGAATACCGCATGCTGCATGTAATGTAATCTATTTAATTTTTTTGACTATACCACGATGATAATGAAATTTGAAGAGTGACAAGTTATTGTATGTGGTAGATAGTAACACAGGAGATTAACTAATACACAGTAACAATAATATGTGGATGTAGTCAAAATGTTTGGTTGCTCGTATATTCAAATATAAGGACTTATAAACGATAGTACTACGTTCTGTTTTGAACCTGATAAAAGTAAAAATCCAACTGTAAGCACATCGCATACAGGACATTTGAGGGCCTTAGGTTGTATAACGATAACAATATTAACACGAGTCTCGTTTCCTTGGTATTGCATAATATTGAGTATGATCTGAATGAGATTGTCAACCACGTCCGACTATCAATAGGTGGGTTGGCAATGACAACCCATTTTGATCCGCCCAAATTCAGCCCTAACCGTCCATTTGCCACCCCTACAAGTCTCTAATATGACATGTATTCATTATCCCATTTTGGAGAACTCTGATACAGGGTTGTACCCCTTGCTGCCTACCCTAGAGATAAGGGATAATGGTAATTCATATATGCTACCACAAATAAATGGTTCAAATCAATTTATATACATGGCTACCAAACCTACAACAACAGATCATTTCATAATAATAACCTCTTCCTCCAGATGCCATTTCTCAAGAAAATAGAACAAGCCATTATCCTTGCCCATGACCGCAGTAGTATTATATGCTTGGATCAGAATTCACTAATCGAAAACAGCCTCTCTGCCTTTATAGGGTAGGGGTAAAACCTCTCTGGATCAGAATTCACTAAGGTGTGATTCCTTCCCCACCTCTTCGATGATGCTGTGACTGGGGATTCTCCTGAGGCTTTCATGTTTAAAAGAGCATCTTTTCAATGGCGTATCTCCAGCGCAGCTGGACTAATAGGAATCACACCGGAAGGTGATACAAGTGCGTCCACAAGAATATCATTTGGAGTTAGTGGTATAGTACCCTCATCCACTATCTGCACTGAATAACAAAGTGCAACTGCAATCCAAAGTGAAAAAGTCAATATAGAAAAGGAAAATTCGTTTACTGTGAACAAAGAAGATACAGCGAAATGGTACGTAATCCTGGAAAGAAGCAGACACAGAGACACACTTTTGAGAGGTTGCTTCCAATTCCGTTCCATTGCAAGCTCTTGATATCTTGACAAAAAGGTGTCGTAGTAACTATTTGTGTCAAACAATGAAAAACAAAGGATCATCAACAAGAGGACAAAAATGTAAAAGTGCAATCAAGAATGAACAGGTAAAACCATGTGACTACTCTTCTTATTTTGTTTTTCCTTTTTTTTTTAACAGGTCGCTCTTCTGCTTCCTTGTACGTTTTCTCTATTTATATTAACCAAAGCTGTTACTTCTGCAGAAGGGGAACTACAGAGACAAAGGGACAAAACCTACCCTCCACCGCGGCCCAACCGTCTTCCAGCTTTATCAAATGCAAGTCCTTCATAGGTGAGAGAGAGAGAGAGTGTAAATACATTATTACCAAAACCAATGTATTTACCAATGATTTCAAGCTTTGAATCATTTAGAGTTTCACAAGTTAATGACAAACATTAACGCACTTACCAGGTAAAAGAAACAAATCAACAGGCTCATTTGCGAACAAAACTGCAACGACAAAAAATCTTTCAATTACTACCATTAAGTCCACAATCCTTTTCCAATTTTCACCCTCGAAAGAGAACTCGACAGAAATAAATGTGTGTACCAACAAACATGTCCAAATATGAGCTACACATCAATCATAAGCAAGAAAATATATTCATAACTTGGTTACTATCTTGATGAAGTAGGTCTCAAAGACCAGCACCTTTTTTTTCTTTTTTCCTCCTTGTTGGATAAGCGGAAAAATTGACACTTCTTTCAACAACAATAGTACAATAAGAGAACACACCAGGAAAAGGTATCAATTTCAGAGATGCCAAAAGTTCAGCTGTACAAATGAACCTAAAGATATACTACGCTCTTTCATCTTGTACTAATGAACCTAAATCTGCTATGCTCTTTCCATTTGTATCAGGTATATTATAATCTTCAGAAAAGGGTCAAAAATACCCCTCTACTATCGAATATTGTTTAAATTTATCCTCCGTTATACTAATCGATCAAAAATGCCCCTGCCGTCTTACTATTAAACAAATATGCCCCCAAGTTAACAGAGAGGCCACGTGGCAGCCATTTAAGACATTTGGTCTATTCAGATGTATTTTTATACTGACCCGACCCACTACCCGGTACCAAAATCTGAACCCTAACTTTTTTGGTCCTTACTTCATCTCCTTTGTTGGAGCCTATTATCTGCAAATCTACTTGGAAAAACTCAAGAAATGAAGGTCAATCTCTATCTGCACATCCACATTGGTAAATCCAAGAAAAGAAGGCTAAATCTCCATGAGAGTAAAAGAAATAATCTGTTTATATTTCTTATTATTCAGACCCACAAAGCTATAATATACAATGTCAAATCCCGAATTCCTCAAGTTATTGCCATTCTATCAAGCTCAAAAGATAACTCTTTTTTTCTTCTTTTTCCCCTCTAATTCCTTTCATGAGAGATGAAATTAAACCTTTAATTTATGTAAGCATTCAACTTTATCTTGATCTTTCTGCAGCAATGAGAGTTCAGTATTTGTTATGTCCGCCTCATAGCTCTTTGTCACTTTGTGTAATTGTCGAGACAAGGTAAATGAATAGGAGATTAAGATCTAAATGTGCTTTGTAACTTTTTGGAGTGGTATGGGTGAAGGTGGGTTTCTTTCTCACTGGTGGTGGCTATGGAGATGAGCCGAAGAGGTGAGGGAGGTGATGGTGGAGAAGAGGGTGTCGGCAGCAAGCTTCGCCGGCGACATAACAGGAAAAACTTCATAGGGATGTTGAATAAGGGTTTAATTTTTAGGGTCGGGTACCGGGTGTAGCAAATGGCCGCCACGTGGCCCCTCCATTAACTTGGGGCATATTTGTTCAATAGTAAGATGGTAGGGGCATTTTTTATCGATTAGTACCACGCGGAGGGTAAATTTAAACAATATTCGATAGTAGAGGGATATTTTTGACCCTTTTCCGTATAATCTTTGACGCTTCATCAATCAAAGCAACCAAAATTCTTTAATGCTTTCTCCTTTCTCATCCTGTTCAAGTGTTGCCTGTTTTAGACAAGTGTCTACTCACACCGAGGCACACACAAAGTGTATATCTAGACTATTACTTTGAATATGATTTCCTATAAAAAATTTGCCTGATAACCATGAGATTTTTTGTAGATGGGAAAAGTGTGTTGACAGAGCATATCCCATTAGTTCTAAAGACTAACTAGTTTGGCTGGGATTTATTACTAAAAGGAAGGGGCATACTTTCCTGAGGAAGCTGCTAGCAACTACTATGTAATTGTAACAACAAAAATGAGAACAAACAAAAAGGTTCCACTTTTAACACGAAACAGGCAACTAATGTAACAAGAGGCTTCCTATGCACCAAATAATTTATTCAATATGTGCATTTTAGGGAAGTTAATAAAACATAAAGAAAGGATTACCCTAACATAGTAACACCCGTAATAGAGTTTTCTGAAACAAACTTCCACAATTAAAGACAACTTCGAGACACAGAACGAAATTGCTCCTCAAAATTTTATGAATTACTAGAGGTTTTAACTCATTGAAATGTAACATGAAACAAGTTGATTATGTGCATTTTACCTATTGTTGCTGCAGTAAAAAAAGTTACAGCAGTGTGAAGAAAAAGAACTATTCAGTATTTACAAAGGAAAGGTAAATGTACCATCTTCACGTTCATTTCCATCAGCATCTACTGGAGCTGGTTCCAGAATGTCCATTGAATTTGCAATCAAATCATCAGTGCTTGAGATGTGAAGCATTCGCATGTTTCTGTTCCTATCCTCCACTCTTGGAACAAAAAGCTTCTTTTGCATCTGCAAATCCTGATCTTATTTGATAATGGGAAATGAGAACGAGAATTAAGGTCTATAACTAATAAAACACTTAACAATGAAGAGAGCAACACCAAGAAATTGTAACAATGTTGTCACCTAGTGCTTAATATTAGTGGAGAAGTACTTATGATATCCAATATATAGCACTGCCCATTTATCAATTAATCAATCAACTGCGACTCAATCCCAAACCAGTTCGTGTAACAGAGAAATTCCAGAGGTTCAATTGAATTCCCTTCCTTGCAAAATTATACTGTGTAAATAGAGAAAAAACTTTTTCTTGTTATATATAAATTGTTGAATCCCCTTTATGCACGAGAATTTTAGTATAGCAACAAAGGGGTTTAAATTTTTTTGAATGAATCATTTTGGCAAAGCATTTTGATGAGTAGGTACACACCTCTGGATGGCTTCCGAGAAAATGAGACATTATTTGGGTTGTATCTACTTCTCGCAAAGCACTAGAGCTTATGTAAGCACACAATCTCTTGCAAGCCTTAAACCATGGAGCTTCCATTACAATCCTTTGTATTGCTTCATCTAACCACTCGCATACAAATCAAAATTATTAATATACCTTCAAAGGGGAGAGAAATAATCAACTTTTAAATTCGTGTGTTGGAAAAAAAAAATACCTTCTTGGGATCTAAGGATGGGATCCATGGACTTGAGATCTCTTTTAACAACAGAACGGAGGGCCTTTTTCTGCTTGAAAATTGTTTCCAAATGGGCAGCGTCCGAACTGAAGTTCTTTTCTCCGGCGGCGCTCATGGTGGCCACGCCGGAACACGGTGAAGGTTGACGGCGGAGGATGGCGGAGCGGGTGAAGAAGAAGCGGGGGATGGATGCTACTGTCCAAGGATTGGTCATTTAATCGCCTGGTCGTGCGTGCACACATATCATTTATGTGTGCTCCTCCCGTTTCCAAATGCCCGCAGGTTTCTATACAGCAGCACGAGTAACACTTTGGATTAGGAAATAAGTAACCACAGCATTCGGTACTCTCCAAATATTATTCTTTTGAATAACGAGAAATTATTGATTTTCTTTTTTCAAAGTTACTTATCTTTTTACAATTTGTGAGTATTAATTAATGAGATGTTTAAAGAAAGATAACAGATAGTATATATAATACTCCTATGATTATAATTGCCGCTATTAAATATATTACTTAAGAATTGTGCTTGTGCAAAAAATATGTAATATGGATGATAGGAGTATGCCTATCTCGGATGATAAAATGTAATGAGACAGAATTTTTTATATGGATTACGAAACATAATACCTAGGAGTGATGGGTCACATGTAACTCGCACCGCTTGATTTATCATAGTTAAGTTATAAACTGAAATAATTATAGTATTGTATTAATTAATCATGGTTATTAGTTAGTTTTTTCCTTGGCGTGAGCACGATTGACAACCGTTAATTCAGTTAATTGATCCGCCAAGCACTTTCCTATTAATTAGTTGAACAAAAAAGAATGGTCATTTGGTACATATAGCTGGTATTCACAACACCATCCAATTTTTGGAAACATTTGTCTTAGGGAAACAGACTTCCTATCTTTCCTTCTTCACATTTACTAGAGAGAAATTAAGAGGAAGGTCATGATCTGGGGTTTACTCTACCTACCAAGATCATGATCTATCTCATTTCATCCCTATTCTTTTGAACCCTCATTTCTTCATCTCTTTCTTATCAACACCCCACTTTTTAAATTTTCACAGAGCACATTCTTTGTCTTGAATTTTGTTGGGTTGTTTTTATTAGACAAAAGTTAAGGTAAAAAGAATGGCTTCGCGATCTTTTAAGCGTTTGGTTGAACAGAAGATGGGGAGAGTTGGGGTTTTCTTCATATATGCTATTCTTGAATGGGTGATGATCATTATTCTTTTCATTGATGGCTTTCTTGCATTTTTCACCAATGAATTCGCTAAATTCTTCGAACTGAAAGTTCCCTGCTTGCTATGCACGAGAATCGATCACATTTTCATTAAAAGAAACTCCAGTTTCTATTATAATGATTCCATTTGCGAAGTTCACAAGAAGGACATCTCTTCCCTTGCGTATTGTCATGTCCACAAGAAGCTTTCTGATATTAGGAACATGTGTGAAGGCTGCCTTCTCTCATTTGCAACAGAGAAGGATTCTGATTGTGATAGGTACAAGTCATTAGTTGGGATTTTGCATAAAGACATTGATTGCTTTGTGGATGGAGATGATCAGAGAGTTTCCATAAAATCAGTGAAGAATGAAGATGAGGTCATCAAAACAGGAGCTGTTGTTATCCTGAGGTGTTCTTGTTGTGGGGAGCCTCTGAAATTGAGGTCTAAATATTTGCGGAACTCGTCTATAAATGAAAATATTTATTCTCAAGCTCCTGCCCCGTCTCCTCGATCTCCCTTGACAATATGGAGAAATGAGGAATCGCGCAATCTAGAATTGCCTCATTTCCGGTACACAGAGCTCAAGTTTACCTCAGAAAATGACTCGGACCTTCCAGATGATGAGGGTCACCAAAATGCAGGTACCTATTTATCTTGAGGATTTCTTTTGCTTCATGTTTTCTTCATTAACAGTGTTGTGGTGAAAGAAAAAAAAAGAACAATGAAGAAAGAGAAGAGCTCTTTCATCTTAACTTCTGCAACTTTTACAATTAGAGTATAAGTTCTATCCATTGTCGGTGTATATAACTTAAATCCTTACATTATTGAATGAATATGGTGTGTGTGTGTTTT